CCCTGCCCTGGGCAGGGACACCTCCCACCAGAGCAGGTTGCTCAAGGATTTGTCCATCCTGGCTTTGAATGCTGCCAGGGTTGAGACAACCACTACCTGTGGTAGGTCTGATGAGCTTTGTCCTTGCTGGAAGTTGAGTTGTGTGAAGAGTCTTGAGGAAAAACATTTCCTAATGGGGAGATGATGTCCTCTGCCTTGCTACCATGTAGGCCATGCTGTAGCTCTTCTGGTTAAGCCCATGTTGTTACCATGTCTATAATGAAAGGGGTGAATGATCCATCAGGATGCTGCTATTGGGGTCGTGACCTGGTGTCTCAAGGGTGGAGAACACTTTGGGGTGCAGGCAATGCACCAAAGGCTGTCATGGTCCTGCAGGAAGGAGTCCCTGTCTGTCCAGGCAATGAGAGGGAAGAGGTGGTTGAGTTTCTGGGTGGGATTTCTTGCTGGCTAAGCAGGAAGATGTGGGGTGGGTCAGCCAGTTGTGGGATGATTTCCTTGGTCTCCTGACATGCCTTTGTGGTCCCCAGAGCTGCCAAAGATCCGCATGCCTCGGCACCTGCGGGAGACCTACGTCAGGCGTGTTGGGGATGCTGTGAACATTATGATCCCTTTTCAGGTAGGTGGATGATGGAATCTAATCCCTCAGGCTTAAACTCTCTCCTGAAGTGATTTTTCTAGCCATCATGACATGCCTGGTGCCAACTGCGGTCTGACTTGTCCCAGTCCCTGTGTCTTATGGGCCAAGGGTGAGAGATGAGGTAGGAACCTCTGTCCCATTCCTACCTAGGTCTAATTTTTCCCCTGCTACATCTTATTGGTGGTGCAGGCAATGGGACAACCCCAAACACACTAGGGCGTGGGCTAGCTACTGCTCCTGTCTCACCCTATGCTCAGTCCAGCTTGTGCTCCTGGCCAGGATCTGGCCACATCTGGGCCCAGGACCCCACAGCACAACACTGTGGGGGGAGAAGGTGCCTTTGAGCAGGGCAGCCCCACGGCTGTGATGGGGGAGCGATGCTGACACTAGTGGGCCAACCTCAAGGTCCTCTCCTCAACTCATCTATGATACTATCTCATCCTGACTGGGACCATGATATCTGGGATCTCCACCTGGGATGGAAAAAGCCAGCTCTGCAACATACTGGCCAAGCAGGGGGAAGTAAGAGGCAGGAAGCTGCCCCTGAGATGAGGGACATGTTCATGCCATGTCGCATAGACATATGGGACCCTGCATGGTCCATTCTCCAGGCATGAATTTTCCCTGGATGCTGAATTCAAACCACTGCTGCTAGGCTTGGACCTAGGCAACAGGAGCACAGCTCAACCCTGGGCAAGTAAAACTGGACTGTTCCATGAGGAATCTGTGGGACCAGGATGTTCACAGAACCAAAGGATGGGGCAAGGCTGGAAGGGACCACATTGGGTTGTCTGGTCCCACCTCCCTGCTCAAGCAGGGCCATCCTAGAGCATATGGCACATGGCACAGAGTTGTGTCCAGATGGTTCTGGAATATCTCCAGTGAGAGAGAATCCATGAACTCTCTGGACAATCCATTCAATGCTTGGTCACTGCATAGTGAAGTTCTTCCTCGTATTCAGGTGGAACTTCCTGTGCATTGGTTTCTGCTGTTACCTCTTGATGTTCCAGCATAATTCCTGGAGCCTGATGGCTTCCCACCAGTGATCTGTGGTAGCTTCTTGCCTAGGCATTGCTGGATGGGAGAGATGCTATCCAAGCCACTGCTGCCTGGACACAGCAGGGTGGCTCTGCCCACCCATCCTTCCAGCAGGACCCACTGGGACCTCGAGTGGCTCCTAACCTGTGTGTGGGGGTGGGTTACTGCAGGGAAAGCCCCAGCCTGAGGTGACCTGGACCAAGGGGGACCAGCCTGTGGACACCAGCCGCATCAACATCCGCAACACGGCGACGGACACCATCTTCTACATCCGCCAGGCACAGCGTGCGGACTCGGGCAAGTACGAGCTCAGCGTGAGGATAGATGGAGCAGAGGACAAGGCCACCCTGGACATCCGAGTGATAGGTGAGGCTGGGGGGAAGGGTCACTCTGGGGCTCAATTCTGCCCTTTTATTGGGGGTAGGTCTTGTTCTGGGTGGGTGGGACAGAGCCAAGAACATGACAAGAGGACCTGAGGTGCCTCTTTGAGTGGGATCAGAGAATCAGAGAATTTTAGGGGTTGGGATGGATCTTAGAGATCATCCAGCTCCAACCCCCTGCCCTGGGCAGGGACACCTCCCACCAGAGCAGGTTGCTCAAGGCTTTAGCCAACCTGGAATGAACATTGCCACAGTTGGGGCATCCACAGCCTCCTTGGGGCATCTACAACTTTCCTTGGGGCATCCACAGCCTCCATGGGCAACCTGTGCCAGTGTCTCCCTACCCTCACAGGAAAAAACTTCTTCCTAATATCTAACCTAAATTTCCCTTCAACTTGAACCCATTACCCCTTGTCCTGTCATAATCTTCTCCAGGGTTATGGAGGTGAATTCTGGTTTCTGCCCCTCATGGCTTTTCATCCCTCATGAGAAGAGATTGAAAGGGAGGTGCAAGGGATGGGCAAGGCACAGAATATGGAAGTTTGATGGCAGCCTATGGGGGTTGTGTTTGCAGAGCCACCAGGTCCCCCCCAGAATCTGAAGCTGGTGGATGTGTGGGGCTTTAATGTGGCCCTGGAGTGGGCACCTCCAGCAGACAATGGCAACTCTGACATCAAGGGCTACAGAGTGCAGAAGTCAGACAAGAAGAGTGGGGTGAGTGTGGCACTACTGGGCCCCTGGGGCTAGGGATGTCCTGGTGGGAGAGGGGGAGCTGCACCCCCTGTCTGCCCACTCAGAGCCATGTGGAGGAGACCTCTAAGATCAAGTCCAACCATTAACTTGTCACTGCTATAACCCCCAAACCCTAAACCAGATCCTCCACTCCAGGGTCCAGACAGCTTTGAAACACCTCCAGGAATGGTGACTGCATCATCTCCCTGGGCAATTCCCTAGTCCAGTGCCATTCCCTCTAGTCCTTTCCCTGCAGCCATGGCAGGAGAGACATCCCCCCCCTCTCTCCAACCCCTGTCAAAAAAAGACGTGAGGTCGTCCCTGAGCCTCTTCTTAAGGCTGAACAAACTAAACTCCCTCAGCCCTTTCTCATGTGTTCTAGACCTTTCATGAGCCTCACTGGAAATGTGTTCTGCACCTTTGATGAGCCTTGTTGGACATGTGTTCTAGATCTCTTATCATATAGTCATAGAATCATCAAGTTTGGAGGAGACCTCTAAGCTCATCAAGTCCAACCATTAACTTGTCACTCCTGGAACCCCTAAACCCTAACCCATATCCTCCAGCACCAGATCCAGACACCTCTTAAACACCTCCAGGGATGGTGACTCCACCACCTCCCTGGGAAATTCCAGTGCCTTAACAATCTAACAGGGAAGAAGTTCTTTCTAACATCTCCTCTGCCTCTGCTTCAGCTCAAGGCCATTCCCTCTTAGTCCTCTCCCTGCAGCCATGGCAGGAGAGACATCCCCCACCTCTCTCCAACCCCTGTCAGGAAGCTGGAGAGAGCCATGAGGTCACCCCTGAGCCTCTTCTCAAGGCTGAACAAACCCAACTCCCTCAGCCCTTCCTCAGGTGCTCTACACCTTTTCTGCCCTCATTGCCTTTCTCTGGACTCTCTCCAGTGCCTCAATGTCCTTTTTGCAGGGAGGGGCCCAAAACCACAGCACTCAGAAAATTGAACCCAGCACTCAGACATATTTTCTCCATCCTTGGCACAGTCTGTCTGTCCTCACTCCTCATTCTTTCACCTCTTTTGCCCCTTGCAGAAGTGGTTCACAGTGCTGGAGCGCTGCACCCGCACCAGCTGCACCATCTCCGACCTCATCATCGGCAACACCTACTCCTTCCGCGTGTACTCGGAGAACGCCTGTGGCATGAGTGACAGTGCAGCTGTGGCCTCGGGGGTGGCACACATTGAGAAGACAAGTGGGGACACAGCCCTAGCTGAGGGGTTTGAGGGGGAGATGGTGGGCAACAGGGGTTCTGTCCCTGGTGGAGCTGGTGGGGCTTCCTCACTGTTGTGGTGATGTTGCTGGGTTGGTCCCCAGGATGAGCCCTGCAGGGATGAGGCTGTGCCTCCCCAAGGTGGTCTCCTGTTCCCTTTCTACACCTCCTTTCTCCTGTGAGGAAGACTTGTGCCGTGGGCAGCCCCCTGGGAGGGATCAAGGCATGGCTGAGAGAAGCAGGAGCTGGGAGGGGTGAGGAACAACCCTGGCTTTGGCCCCACGACTCAGAGCCAGCAGAGACCCCTCAGTGGTCCATCTCAGAGCCAAATCTCCAACCAGCATCCCTCAGCCCTGCTCTCCCTCCATTTCCATCCTGCTCTCTGGTGGCACACCATGAGTTGGGTCTCTGCCACCCTCAGGGTTCATCTCCAGTTCCTCTGGCTGTGCACTGAGTTTTGGGGATGGGGAGGAAGATCCAGAGAGGACCTGAGCTGGGTCTGAGCTGCTGCACATAGCATGTGGCACAGTGTGGGTTTGCAGATTGGCATTTCCCCTGCCCCTTGCAGGGCCTGGGCAGGACCATGGTGTGGTTGGATGAGCAGACAGGGCTAGTATGAGCTGAAGACCATCTTCTTGGGTCAGGAGAGATGACATGTGGCTTGTTGTGTGAGGAATAGAAGTATTTTTGGTTGAATCTCTGAGCCCACATGTTGGTCAGGAGCCTAAGCTCTGCCTCAACTTAGAATTCATTCTTTTCTTAGAAACCACTTACCAACCAGAGAAGATCCCTCAAAGGGACATGATGGAGCCTCCAAAGTTCACCCAACCCCTGACAGACAGAGCCACCACCCGGGGCTACAGCACACACCTCTTCTGCTCCGTCCGAGGCTTCCCCCAGGTCAGTGCTTCCTCATGGACAGCATCATCTCACGTGGGAGCCACCAGTGGGGTTTTTCTGGGTGGCTGGAATTGTTGGAAGATGGTTCCTCCATGGTCTCCACACATAGGCAGCCACCACTGAGTTTTGCTGGGTGGCTGAAGGTGTTGGTCAGTGGTTCTTCCATGGACAGCATCATCTCCAAATGTGGGCAGCCACCAGCAGGTTTTGCTGGGTGGCTGGAGGTGTTGGAAGATGGTTCCATGGGCAGCAGCATCTCACGTGGACAGTCAGCAGTGGGATTTTGCTGGATGGCTGGAATTGCTGGGAGATGGTTCCTCCATGGGCAGCATCATCTCAAATGGTCAGAGACCAGTAGGGTTTTACTGGGTGGCTGGTGGTGTTGGTCAGTGGTTCCTCCATGGACAGCATCATCTCACATGGGCAGCCATCAGTGGGTTTTGCTAGGTGGCTGGACCACTGGAAGTGTTGGGAGATGGTTCCTCCATGGACAGCATCATCCCAAATGGACAGTGACCACTGGGTTTTGCTGCATGGCGGGAGGTATTTGTCAGTGGTTCCTCTCTGGGCAGCATCATCTCCACACATGGGCAGTGACCAGTGGGGTTTCACTGGGTCACTGGAGGTGTTGGGAGATGACTGGGAGAGCTTTAAGGTCCTTCCAACCCAAACCATTCTGTGACTTCCCCATGCTCCCTGCATGGCTGCACTGCTGGCCCTGCCTGCAGGACAGGACTGGCTGGGCCAGCGCTGGTCATGTTGGGTTGGGGCTGGATGAGGTTGAGGCTCATCCAGCCTGGATGAGGTTGAAGCTGCAGCTTCCCTCTGAGTCAAACTGGAGCAAGTTTGGGGGGTTTCTGCATGGAGATGGGAGACTGGTTTTCATTCAAGCCATGCCCTGCTTCCTTCTGTGCTGGGGGAGTGCGTGTGGGGCACTGCCTGGGGCTCAAGAGTGGGAGATTTAGCTCTTCAGACTCCTGACTCTGAATCCCACCATGACCACCAAATCCAGGCAGGACCAAGGCAAAAGCAGAGGGAAGTGGCTGCACTTTGGGATCAGTTAGAGCTCTCATTTCTCTTTAACCACATAAATCCTGGTGCCTTCCAGCCCAAAATCATCTGGTTGAAGAATCAGATGGAGATTCGGGAGGATCCCAAGTACATCGCCATGATCGAGCAGGGCGTGTGCTCCCTGGAGATCCGCAAGCCTGGCCCCTTTGATGGGGGGGTCTACACCTGCAAAGCTGTCAACCCCCTGGGGGAAGCCTCAGTAGACTGCAGACTGGATGTGAAAGGTAAGGCTGGCTGAGAAGAAGGAGGAACAGAACTCCTTGCCTGGTTTTCCTGGTGTCTCGTTTGCAATGGTGTGGTTTATCCTTGCTCTGTGTGGAGCAGAGAATCGTCAGAGAATCATCAGAGAATTTTAGAGGTTGGAATGGACCATGGCAGAGATAGGTGTGTGATAAGGAAGGATGGAGATGGACCATAGCAGAGATGGGTGTGTGAGGAGGGAAAGATATGGATCAGGTGAGAGATGGGTGTGTGAGGAGGGATGGACATGGACCAGGGCAGAGAGATGGATGTGTGAGAGGGATGGAGATGGACCATGGTAGAGATAGGTGTGTGACAAGGAGGGATGGAGATGGACCAGGTGAGAGATGGGTGTGTGAGGAGGGATGGACATGGACCATGGCAGAGATGAATGTGTCAGGAGGGATGCAGATGGACCATGGCAGAGAGATAGGTGTGTGAGAAGGAAGAGGGATGTGCAGTGAGTTGGGAGTATCCATGGGAAGCAAAGAGTGATAATTTCATAGTTTCTTTGTGCATTAAGGAGTTGGAATGGAGCTAGGAGATCATCCAGCCCCAGCCCCCTGCCCTGGACAGGGACACCTCCCACCAGAGCAGGTTGCTCAAGGCTTTAGCCAACCTGGAATGAACACTGCCAGGGTTGGGGCAGCCACAGCCTCCCTGGGCAACCTGTGCCAGTGTCTCACCACCCTCACAGGAAGCAACTTCTTCCTAATGTCTAGCCTAGATTTTCCCTCCTACTTGAAGCCCTATGGAGCTGCAGCTTCAGGCTCCTTGGGTTGATGGTCTTGAAATTTCTTGGCCAAAAAACTGGGGAGAAAAGCAGAACCCACAGAGCCAAAGGAGCAGAGTTGCTGCTGGAGGGACCTGGGACCATCTCTCACTCTTCTCTGCATCAGCACTTGTGTCCTGAGCCACCCCCAAGCCATGTGTGTGTGTGGGGGGTGCTGAACCTCCTCCCCTGCACCTGGGCCCTTCTGATTTATGTCTCGGGATCCTGCCCAGGCTTTCAGCTCACATTTCCCTGCCTCAGCACTGCACCAGAGCAGCCCTTGCATAGAGGTGTCCCACATGGCTCCACTCAGACATCTCCTCTGTGTGCTGGAGTCCCTCCCTTGCATGCAGGAGGAAGCACTGCCTGTTCCTCAAGTGTCTCTGTGTCCTTAGCCACATGGAATTCCTCTTACTTTTTCTCCCATGGGTTCACAGCACACACTTGCCCCAAGAAACACTCTGCCCTACTTCCCACACAGGCAGGGATCCAATCCAGCACAGCTCAGCACCCTCAGGCCCTGCTGAAGCTATGGAGCTGTTGGTATGGCATCATCATGTCTAGAAGTATCTGAAGGGAAGGTGTCAGGAGGATGGAGCCAGGTTTTTCTTGGTGGTACCGAGCAGAAGAGCAGGAGGCAATGGGCAGAAAGTTTTGCACAGGAAGTTCTGCCTGAATATGAGGAAGAAATTCTTTCCTGGGCAGTGACCAAGCACTGGAACATGTTGCCCAGTGAGGCTGTGGATTTGCCTTCCCAGGAGATGTTCAAAAGCCATCTGGGCACAATTCTGACTCATGTGCTCCAGGGGACACTGTTTGAGAGGGAAGTTGGACTAGATGGCCTCTAGTGGTCCCTTCCAACCTCAAGCTTCTGTGATTCTGTGAGTCTGTCATTCTGGGGTTGGTGCTTGGCTGTGTGGAAGTTGTTCCTGGGGCTTCCAGGTGGTGCAGCTGACAATGACCCAGACAACCCAGCCCTGCAGGAGGTCCAGCAGTGCATCCACACAGGGAGCATGGGGAAGTCATGGAATCATGGAATGGTTTGGGTTGGAAGGACCTTAAAGATCATGTCATCCCACCCCCTGCCATGGGCAGGGACACCTTCTAACAGCCCAGGTTGCTCCAAGCCCTGTCCAACCTGGCCTGGAACACTCCCAGGGATGGAACAGCCACAGCTGCTCTGGGAAACCTGTGCCAGTGCCTCAGCACCTCACAGGGAAGAATTTCATCCTAATCTCTAATCTAAAACTACTCTCTGTCAGTTTAAAGCTGTTTCTCCTGTCCTATCATTACACATCCTCGTAAAAAGATCATAGAAGGTTTTATGCTTTCAGTAAAGTTTCTAAAATTGCATAGAATTTAACATCTCTCTAATTCCAGCAACACCCTAGCCTGGCTCCAGGGCAGAGGGGCTCCAGCACTTGGGATATCTCCATTGCCTCCTCTAGACTTGCTCCAGCAAGTTCTTATGTCCTCCTTATTTTGGGGTCCCCCAAGCTGCATGCAGTGCTCCAGGTGGTCTCACCTGAGCAGAGCAGAGAGGGAGAATCCCCCACCTCAACCTGCTGGTCATGCTGCTGGGGATGAGCCCATCTGGCCAGGAGGATGAGGTGGGGACACAAAGCACCTGGGAGTCCCCCGGACTGGGACCTTGGTGGGCAGGTGGGCAGGAGCAGGCAGTGATGGTGCTGTGTGGGATGGCTCAGAGCCTCTGTGTACATAGTGTGTGTAGGTGTGGGTTGGGGTGTGGAAATGAGGAGATTGGTTATGTCCTGACTCACTTTTGGATGGCAAAAGGGGAGTACAACAATGGAAATTCAGTGGTTTTATGTCTCCTGTGCTCTCCTGCAGTGCCCAAGTGAGGACAGATCAGAGGGCAAGACAAAGAGCAAGGTAGGTGTGGGCTGGGACTGAGGGATGGAGGGAGGATCACTTCACAGGGGTTGGAGTGGCTTAAGTGTCCTGGATTAGCCCTTGACACCTGCTGATGTAGTCCAGGCTCAGGTCTTCCTCATCCCAGGGTGGGAGACACACTGCTGGGGTGGGATGATGGGCCTGAGAGACACCTGCCCCTTTGTGAGGTGCAGGGAGGGCTGTAAACACAGCCAGGAGGAGGAAGATGCGGGTGGAGACTGCAGTGCCCAGCAGGTACATGGGCAGCACAGCAGGCAGAGCCCCAAGCTGCAGCCAGAGCTCCTGGAGCACCAGGGGCTGGACAGGAGGGGCAGGTACTGGGGCTGGGGGCGGGTGTAGAGGGGTGGGAAATGGGGCTGTGGGGTGGAAAAGCACAGTTAAAGGGTTGTGCCTGGATTCTGTGGGGCAGGAAAGGGTTGCAGAGCTGGGCTGGGTCTGTCCTGCTTTGAAGCCTTGGCTGGAACATGATTTCCACCTCACCCATGAGCATGGGGCTCTTGGCAATGGAGCCCTCACAGGAAGGACTCAGCTCTCATCCCTTTGGCCCAGGTGGATGCTGCAGCTGCTGTGTGGCACGTGGTGATGCTCCTGGCCATGGGCTCTGCTGTCTGCTGACCTGGCCCCCTGCAGCAGTGCTCTGGGGGGGCTGCACCTCAGCCTGCCATGGCATGGCCCTGTCTGAATGTGTCCTTAGCTGTGACAATAAACCAAACCCATCTGAGGGGCTAAGAAAAACACCCAGACCCTCTGTCCTGCTTGTTTTGGGCTGGCTTGGGTGAGGAGAGGTGGAGGGGAAAGAATTGCCCAGGGATGCTGTGGGTTCATATAACATCCCATCCATTTTGAGTTGATTTTGAGCTTGGAAGGAATGGACCACCTTTAAAACACATACGTGAACATGACTGAATGAGAAGGAACCCAACAAGGGGAAGGAGGATGGAGAACTGTT